ATTTTTTTCATATTTAACTCAAATGTTTTTTATTATATACTCAATATGAAATTTTTTCATTTAACAGTTAAAATTTAAAAATAACTTATTTTTAAAATAATTATATTTTTTTATAAATAAAAAGTTAATTAGTAATAAGTGAAGAAATTTTTTTCATATTTAACTCAAATTTTTTTTATTATATTCTCAATATGAAATTTTTTCAATTAAAAAAAAAAAAGGAAGGAAGGACAAGGAAGAAAGCCCGACGGAGCCCGATCGCAAGCATTGTCAGAGCTAAAGCTCTACATAGCGAGAGCGGAAGTGTTCACACTTTTATGTAGCTCAAACTGTTAACATATAAATAAATATTGTTCAAAACATTAATATCTACAACCAAATTATGTTTTCTCTACGCAGGCGGCCATAGTTAATTGTTCAAGCTGATCGCCGTTAAAAGAAAAAAGGGTTCGAGCTGATCATAGAAGCATAATAAACTTACAGAGAAGATGAGAAGAGGTGAAAAGAATTGAGCCCTCAATTCCTTCTCAAGCTGAAGCTGTAGGTAAGAATTCTTGACCACAGCAGCTATCAAAGACACAGACAATAACCCTCTGCTTCTACCATATGTTACCTCTATCTCTATGATCTTTATAAAGACCTTTAAACAGGAGTACAGCTAAGAAGGTGAATGGCAATGGAGAGCCACCTGAAAATCTGACGGTAGATTAATATTACCTTTCCCTCCTTGACATTTTGTTGCCACGTGGACGGCAAGGATATGGAGCGAAAAAAATTGGACGAAAGATAACGCAGCTACTGTTTATGACAGGACGTTTTCTGGCAAATTGAGGAACAGAAACTCCGGCTCACTGAAAAAGGCGGTCAAAAAAAAATTTTTTTTTTCTTTGATTGAGGGCAATTTTTGAGAGAGGGATAAAGTTTGGTGATACACATAGTTAACAAGTGGCCTATAAAATCAGGTACGTCAAAAATTTAAATATACGGTGGTAGTGGAATCCGTGGACCATTAACTCATAGATAGTATATAAAGATAATTTTTTATATAATTTTTATATATTATTAAATAAAT